AGTGGATGTATGCTACCAATCCATCTTATGACTCAATCCCCACATCCTGCTTCTCAAATGTCAAGGGGGCCATTCCAAAGGTTAACAAATTCTCCATCCATACTGCAGTAAAACTTGCTTTAAACAAGTGGTTTATAACCTAGAGCTCCTTTTAGGATATTCCTTTCATGAATCTTAGGAATCACTGTAATGTTAACATCCAACCAAGAGTGCATTTTTTTTTTCCCTATTACTACAGACAGGAAGAGGGTATTAATTAATCCCTGGGTTCTGGGGTCCTCAGGTTTGATACTATTGCACAGGTAGCTATAGACAAGTTGTGATCCTGTAGTTCTGATACTGATTTCTGATTCATCACATAAACCAGAATAGTCTGAAAGTCAAACATTCTGTTTCTAGAATTTCAAGCAGTGTCAAGCTTTCTCATCATTGCTCTCCAAAATGGCATCTTCCAAAGAGGTTTAAAAAAAGACAGCTCTTGAAGACTGCCACTTATAGAATGTATCTGGGTAAATATTTTAGACATTATCAGCCAACAGCCAGAAAATTAAAATTATGGAATGAGGGCCACAATGTCACGAAATAAGAGGATGTGTTTAGAACATAGGAACCAACTAAGGATAACCCACTTAAGTGGAACTGTCAGGTCATTCTGATTTGAGGGCACTTGGCACAATTTTACGGAGAAGGCAATGGCACCCACTCCAGTACTCTTGCCTGGAAAATCCCATGGATGGAGAAGCCTGGTAGGCTGCAATCCATGGGGTCGCTAAGAGTCGGACACGAATGAGCGACTTTCCTTTCACTTTTCACTTTCATGCATTAGAGAAGGAAATGGCAACCCACTCCAGTGTTTCCCAGGGACAGGGGAGACTGGTGGGCTGCCATCTATGGAGTCGCACAGAGTCAGACACGACTGAAGCGACTTAGCACCAGCAGCTAAGCAGGCACAATTTTAAAAAATGAAAATGTCATCCCTCAGCTAGCTGGGCAAGTCCCCAGCTTGGGCTTGTCTGCAGCAATTTTAAAGCACAGAAGTGGCCGCATCTCTTTTGTGCCTGGAACCAGGAGCTCTTTACTCCTCCCTTGGATGTTCCAGTTAGGGAGGGGAAAAGATTTTTATTCCTGGGAAAGAGAAGCAGCAGGTTTTTGTGCTTAAAGAAGAAAACCTTTGTATTCAACAATCATACAGGGGTCTCTAACCCACAGGCCATGGACCACTTAAAGAGAAAAACCTTTGTATTTGACGATCATTACAAAGATACAGGCCAGAGCAGGAATCGAGTTGTACAGGAGGGGAGCGGCGAGTGAAACAGAAACCACCCCCTGACTAACCCTGGTCTGTGAAATCCAGTCCCTGGTATCAAAAAGGTTGGGAACTGCTGGACTAGAGCATAATTCTAAGTAGCCACATCAAGTACAAAGTACATTAACAGGGTTAAACTGATTACCCCTCCACTGAGGATTTTCTGTTTGGCCCCACAGCCTAGTTTCCCATTCCAGAATATGGGCAGGAAAATGGTCAAAAAATTAACTTGGATGATGATGGAACTGCAGCTCACTGTTGGAAAAACAAGTGTTACTGTTGAAGGAGAAAATTTTTTTCAGAATTTTTTACAGAAACAAAGACCATCAAAATGTGGAGAAATAGTGCAGATATTTGCTATAACTCAGGGGGCTTCCCTGGGGGCTCCATTGGTAAAAAGTCTACCTGCAATGCAAGAGACCTGGGTTGGGAAAATCTCCTGGAGAAGGAAATGGCAACCCACTCCAGTATTTTTGCCTGGGGAATTCCATGGACAGAGAAGCCTGGTGGGCTCTAGTCCATGGGGTCAAAAGAGTTGGACGTGCTTAGTGACTAAACAACAAAGGACCCTGAAGCAGGTGGTGAAGAAAAAGAAAAGGCACAGGCTGACACACCCTGCAGTGAGCCACTGTACCTGCAGATCTTAGTAAGACCAGGCCATGGACTGTTGCCAAGAGTTCATTCACCAATTACCAGCTTTGTTTCTTTTTATAAGGAGAATATGCCTTCTTTGACTCTGTTCTGTTACTCCAGTATCTTCTGTTCCTGAAGACCTAATGGGATTCGTCACTTTCCCAGATAACGCCTTACTTGAAAATGGCCTCACGGGAAAGCATATTACCATCTTTAATTATTAGAAGGATAGCTGTGAGACACATGGCCCATCTCTCTCTCTGGACACACCCCACTGTCACTATCCAAAGGAGTTTTATTTAATTCTGTGGGAGCACTTGAATTTATGCCCCATTAAAGTTCTCTTTTAAAAACTACAAGTTGAAGCCACATCTAACAGTCATGACATTCTCTGGATCCCACGCACATCCTAAAACTGGAAAACCTGTTTCATGGCCACAGAACCAATAAAATATATGACTTCATTCGAAATGCATGATTCTTAAAAGAGGAAAATAAAGTAATTTCTGGTGTTTATAAAACGTTTTTATGATTGGAGCTTTCTATATAAACACTGAATATGCTCTAAGAAGGTTCTCCTATGTCGTAAGAAATTACAGCTTAGACTGGAGTCCCAAACCTTTCATTCTGCTGTGAGATTTGCTTTCAGTTTCAAATTTAACTCTTAACATTTTTCTTTTAGGACCAAGGTCAAGATAGGGCCTCTTAATATTTATGCTCTTACTCATCTTCCATTAGCCACAGTGAAAAAAGCATCGCCAGTTTCCTACCTCAAGACTTGGTTACATAAATAACTGGGTGTGACCATACTGGATGAGTCAACCAGTCAGTCAACAAACAGGACTCCCCATTATGTGCCAGGTGGGAGCAGAGTTCTACAGGAAAACTTCATGTGATCACGTTCCCGTTGAAGAGAAGGACTCTAAGCTTCAAGCAACATCAAATATACAGCTGGGCTGAGACAGTCCTCTAACTGCCTAAAGTATTTGCTCAGAGTACTTTACCTCTTACTTACCTCCCCTTACCTCTGACCTGTTTTTTGAGGAATACCATCCGACATGAATAAAAGAACCAAGGACTCTGACTCCACCAAGAATTCCCCCAAATATTCCACACCCCCTTCCGGGTACAGGGATCTCTGGGCTTATGCCTCAGTATGTGCATGCTAGTCAAGTCCGACTCTTGAGACCCCGTGGACTGTAGCCCGCCAGGGTCCTCTGTCCATGGAATTTTCCAGGCAAGAGTGCTGGAGTGGGTTGCCATTTCCTTCTCCAGGGGATCTTCTCCTTGATCAGGAAGGGATTCCGATTCACGTGTACACCCTCAGCTCATCTGAAATCCCATGATCTCCATGAAGGCTTCTCCTGCCCAATCAGAAAGTTTTCTTCTCTGAACTCTCCTCTACATGACCTGTGTATACCTCCCACATTTTAACCTCCACAGTCGTCCTCTCTTTTCATTTGTTACCTTCCCTACAAAAGGGGAAGCTACTGGAGTCCAAAATCATTATTTCTGGGGTTACTGATGGTGATTCTTCCAGCATGTGTAGCATGTGACCCAGTAACTCCATGGTTTGAAGCAAAGCTTTGCACAGCCCGGTCATTCCAGAGGGGTGCCCTGAGGCCACCTGGTGGGAGCAGAGTGGACAGGTCTATGGGGAGAACCCCAGCCCTCCAGTCTGATGGGTTTTGACTGTAATTCTTCTATTTATTGTGGTTCATATAAGTTTTCCTTTAAAAAAGAAGGATGCTGCTAGAGATAGAAAAAAAGGAAACCACTGCCATAGATACTATCAAATAAAGGAGCAGAATTATATCCGATGCCTCGAGCGCTTTTTCCCTTCAGATATAATGAAATCCATGATAAAAAAAAGTGAGGCAAGAAGGTTCAGAGTACCCGTCAATCAAAGAACATGGTCAAAACAGAGGCCCTTTCTCCTATTCTATATGATCTTTTTCCATTACAATTTGACAGATGCCTCCTCAAGCTCTGAGTGAGCTGTTTGAGGTGGTGAACAAAACCACGTTGGCCCCTGGTTCTGCTCTGGGTCTGTGTATGTGCATGTGTGAGCACACACACCTGTGATGCTCTGATCTCAATGCCTGTGGGTGAGTACACCCATGATACTCTGATCTCAATGGGTGTGGGTAAGCACACCCATGACACTCTGATCTCAATGAGCGTGTGTGAGCACACCCATGATACTCTGATCTCAATGCATGTCGGTGAGCACACCCATGGCACTCTGATCTCAATGAGTGTGTGTGAGCACACCCATGACACTGATCTCAATGTAACTTCGAAGAGAGAGTTACAAATGATGCTGACAGACATCTCTTGATCCTCCTCCCCCACCAAATAAATCTATTCCTTCAGTCTAAGTGGTGCTAATATCCACTCTGCTGCTCAGGCTACACATCTCAGAGTGTCTCCTGATTTCTCTCCTTCACTACCCACGCCCAATTTATCAGTAATACTGCTAGTTGCATCTCTGAAATGTTCCCAAGCAGCTCATTTTTCCCTGCCATCTGCTGCTACCGATCGCTGGAGCTCAGGGCGTCATCATTCCATTACCTGTTACCAAGTTCATACCTTTTCTCTGCTCAGCCTTCTGCTTTTTCCTCCCTATTTTCTGTTCTCTAGGCAGCATATTTACACCTCTCCTAATAAAACTCTCTTAAAAGAGCTTCTCAGGAAGATCCCCTGGAGGAGGAAATGGCAACCCACTCCAGTATTCTTGCCTGGGAAATACCATGGACAGAGAAGCCTGGTGGGCTATACAATCCATGGGGTCGCAAAGAGTCAGACATGACTGAGCAACTAACACACACATACACACACATTTCTCATCAAACATAAAGTTAAACTCTTAACTCCCAACTGGTTAAAAAAAAAAAGAAAACCAAATATTTCTATTTCACTCCAAATTCAGCAAATTGCTCATTCTGATCACCTTGCATTGGGGAGTTTTCCTTTCTTTAAGAAAGAAAGTAAATTAGCAGAGGACTGAGCAGAGAGACAGAAGAACTGGCCCATCACCCCCAAAACAGAAAGGACTTACGGCTTCAGATTTGGGAGGCACTGGAGGCGGAGGTAGGGCGATCTCGGCAGATTTCACCGCTGCACCCAGCGCTCCGGGTACAGGAAGGGGAGAGGTTGCACACTTGGCCCGGAGAGAACCTCGGAACTGGTCACATCTGCTCTTCTCACTCAGGGAGCGAGTGAGAGGCTGATGGCTGGGCTTGCCTTCCTCCAGCCACAGCTCTTCATAAGGAAGTTCCGACTTCCCTGCCATGCCTGCAGATTCTTCACCAGCTTCTGGGAAAAGGTAGTCGCTCCCGCTGTCCCCCGAGTCCTGATAGGGTAGGATGTCGTGAGGAAAGGGGGCCCACTCTCCCCCCAGGTCCCTGCAGCCGTGGAGGTTCACCTCGCTGTTGCCATGGAGATTGTTGCCATACACACAGACGGAGAGCCGGTGGAAGGACTGGGTGAGCTCATCGCGAGCGTAGCTAAGGGAATTGGGCACGTGGTTGTGGCCGGCGCACCGGCCCTTCTTGGGGCTCTTACAGTCCTCGTTCCAGTCGGTTTTCACGTCGCGGACCGCCCGTGAATACTCATCGATGTCGAACTGTTCTTGGCAGATCCCCAGCCAGTGATGGACCAGGGTCTCAGGCCATCCCTCTCCCTTGACCAGGTGTTCTGGGAGGCTAAACTTCGGGACGCTCAGGTGCAGAGGGAAGTGCATCGGGAGAATCTTGTTGTTCCGCAGCACACAGCAGACCACCACGGTCTTGGTCTGGATGTTCACAAACTTGTAGCGGTGCCCCTCGCGGATGAAGTGCAGGTCGTACGGGTTCCTGGGCGGTGGGCTGGGCACGGTCACGTTAACGGGGAGCCTGGTTTTCTCCACGATGTTGCGGATGGTATGCTCGCCCTCCTGCATTTGAAGCTCCAGGGGGCTTCGGGTGCTAAACCTGCCCTTGCACTGGAACGGGAGGCTGATGCTCTCGTTGGTCCGGTGATTCATGCAAATGAGGCAGGGCATTTTGCCTTTTCCCAGCTTGCTGATGGAATTGAGTTTCCCAATCTTTTTGAAGATGGTGTTGAGTCGTGACTTCTCCTTGAAAGTCTTTGCATAAAGGATTTCTGCCTGGCCCATTAGAGTGAGTTCATCCCCTGTACACAGGGTGATGTTGTAAACTTCGGTGTCTTCATTGCATTCACCCGAAGCAACCTACGATAGGATAAATCAAATTTCAGGGTTGTTTTCTTTAGTTTATTTGCATGGAGAAGTAGAAAACTTGATATTAAGACATAGATGTGCATGCACAAAGGAAAATGCTGTTTTAATACTAAATTTAGACACTCCATTTCTCCTATAACATGTATGTGGTTAACAATAATAGGATAATGTTAGTTTAGACTTTTAAAAACACTTTTTTTCCCCCTGAAGAACAAGGTACCTTGTATTCCTTAGTAAAATCTTGGGAAATACAGAAGAAAAACATAAGAAGAAAATAACACCCACAAGTCTGATGACTATGGTTAATGGTTTGATAAACATCCTTCTGGTTTTTTTTTCCCCTATGTATTATATCATGCAGATAATTATTTTGGGACTTTAATTTTATCATTGTATCTTTTTCAATTATACAAATACATCCATAAATACTAATGTAGAAAATAGCTTTTGAACTACTAAAATTCCACTAATTTTTTACCTTTAAAGTTTTGCTAATTTTATTAAATTTTCTAAAGTTGGGACAAAGGATTATACAAACTACTCACATTCATCAGAAGAATTATTAGAAAATACAGACACAAAAATGAGCAAAGTCTATACGACCTAACCAGTCACTGAAGATAACCTGCTAACAATTTTAAAAATGGAAAGAAAAGACAAGATGGCAGAGTAGAAGGATGTGAGTGCAACTTCTTATGAAAACACCAAAATCACACCTAACTGCTGAATAACCATAGGCCAGAAAAACCGCCCAAACACTGGTTCATATATACACTGGAATACTACTCAGCCATTAAAAGGAATGAAATAATGCCATTTACAACAACATGGATAGACATGGAAATTATCATACTAAATGAATTAAGTCAGACAAAGACAAATTATCATATGATATCACTTATACATGGAATCTAAAAAAAAACTCTAACACAAATGAACTTTCTGTATTTACAACACAGAAACAGACTTAAAGAACGAGCTTATGGTTACCAGTAGGGAAGGGCTGGGGGTGAGGGGTTGGTCAACTGGGGAGTTCAGATTGACATGTGTACACTGCTATATTGACAATGGATAACCAACAAGGACCTACTATACAGCACAGGGAACTCAGCTCAATATTCTGCAATAATTTAAGTGGGAAAAGAACTTTAAAAAGAGTAGATAGCATGTATACGTACAATTTAATCATTTTGCTGTACACTTAAAAAGTAATACAAAATTGTTAATCAACTATTTTAATATAAAAATTAAAAATTCTTGAGTGATGTTTTAAGTAAAACTAATTTTACTATGCTTATTGTACCACTCAAACTCAAAAATTTAAATTCCTGTTCTAAAAAAAGAAACAAGTGTATTAGTCTATCTCAGGGATATTTATCAATATATATACAATTTTACTGCTCTGCTTCTCACTGTAATTTGTCCATTTTCCTGTGCATATACTCCATTAATATTAATACTGACCTATTATATATGGATATGCCTTAATTTATTTGACCAATTCCCTACTGTTAGGCAGATGGGATTTCCCAATTTTTAACAATTATAAATAGTACTGCAATAAACATTTCACACTTTATTTCCTTAGGATAAAGTCTCAGAAACAGAATGCATGAACAAAGCTGTGTATATATTTGAAAGGTCTAATATGTGTTGCCTATTGTATTGGGTTGGCCAAAAAGTTTGTTCAGGTTTTTCTGTAAGATGTAATGAAAAACCCAAATGAACTTTTCGGCCAGCCCAATACTTCAGGCGTGTTATGCGTGTGTGTGTGCTAAATCGGGAGTGTTACACATCTTCATATTTCTACTTTATGAGCTTGTTTCCCCATACCCATGCTGACCAGGTTTAATGCCTACCAGTATTAAAGGTAAAGCATGTAACCTGCATTTACTTATGCTTGTGAAAATTTTTTGATATTTATCAGGCTATTTATAGAGTTTTTCTTTTGTGAACTGTCTTCTTGTGTCCCTCACCCATTTTTCTACTGTGACGGTTGTCTCTTCAAGATTTATGTATCTATTCACGGTTGCGCTGGGTCTTGGCTGCTGTGCATGGCCTTTCTCTAGTTGCAGTGAGCAGGGGCTACTCCTTGTTGGGGTGCTTGGGCTCCTCATTGTGGTGGCTCCTCTTGTTGCTGGAGCACGGGCTCCAGTAACCAAGGCATTTGGGCTCAGTAGTTGTGGTGGACCAGGCTTGGCTGCCCCAAGGCACATGGCTCTTCCTGGAGAGGGATGAACCTGTGTCCCCCTACACTGGCAGGCAGACTCTTAACCGCTGGACCACCAGGGAAGCCCTGTGACGGTCACCTTACTGACTGCTTTTTATGCAATGTGAATGTCGTTTATGCTATATATTTCCTAATATGTTGCCTGAATTTCAATTCTATGGTTTAAGTATTAGTTTTTTTTGTTTGTTTGTTTTAATGTAGCAAGCATTTAAAAAGATTTCCTTTGTGAGTTCATTCTTGGGTGTTCTGCTCCTTGTTGAGTAGATACAGATCAGTGGTTTGATGGAGGTGTGCTTTTGTCCCCTCCGGTCCTGAGATATTCCAGACTGCCACGACTGTGAGGGTGCTATTTACATCTAGTAGAGAGAGACAAAGAATGGTGCTAAAAATGCTTACAAGGCACACGACAGCCCCCAGAGCAAAGATTCATCCAGTCCAATTTTCATGAGTGCTGAGCCTGAGAAATGCTGATATCATTAACCAATATTTTCTTCTGCTATTTTGATGGTTTCATTTATTAAATATTTATTTAACTTATTTACATAAAATTTACTTAGATTATTTAAGACAGGGCTCTAATTTCTTAAATAGCTAACCTAATGTCCAGTACATTTCCAAATAACCATTCCTTTCATCTCAGATTTGAAGTGCCACATTTATCATATATTAAATTTATAAAACACATACATTCAAATGCATATATTTTTTCCTAATGACCTTTCTGCCTATTTTCACATCATAACAATGTTGTTTTAATTTCTATATCCTTATCATACATTTTGAGATCTGATAACAACAGCCCTCACTTCCGGTTATTCTGACTCAAAGTTTCTGGATAGAAAGAGAAAAGAGAATCAAAGTCAAAAGTCAAGTAACAGACTGAGAGAAAATATTTCCAGTGTATATCACAGAAAAGGAACTAATATTCCTAATACATAAACAGCTCTTTAAAAAATGACCCCAAACCCTCCAGAAAAACAGAAATGTCATGAAAAATCAACCCACTAAAAAGATGCATAATGGAAAAGATGCATCTATGGAAAGATGTTCAACTTCTCTCACAACCAGAGAAGTGTCAACTATAATTACACTGAGATATCACTTCTCACCTAGAATACTGATAAATATTCAGAAGCTTGACACTGCACTCAGTTGGTAAAGCTATGGGGAAATAGGCACTCTAGTTCATAGCTGGTGGAAATGCAACACAGTACAAGCCCAGGGGTAGGGAATTTGGCAATATTTAACCAAACTGTTCATGCATTTATCCTTCCACTCAGCAATGCTACTTTTAGGAATTTACCCCAAAGATATTTCTCCAACAGTATGAAAATACACATGTACAAGGTTATTCACTATAGCATTATTTGTGTTTGTAAAAAATATTGGAATCTATTTAAGTGCCCAAACATCAGCAATTGATTGAATAAACTAAAGTACACACACAAACTGATGTTATGTGAGAAAGAAAGAGGTTAATTAGCTCAATGAATCGGCATGGAATGACTTCCAGAATAGACTAAGTTTTAAAAAAAAAGGAAAGAACATGAAAATGTATAAGGTATACCACCATCTTGTTTAAGAAAGAAGGAAAAGTAGTATATATATATTTCTGCCTTTTTTTTTTTTTAAAGGAACATAAGAAAAATAAACCAGAAAACAATGCAATTGGTTACTTCCAGGAGGGAGGGGAGTGAGGAACCTGGGGGAAGGGACAGGGCAAGTGACACCTCTATGAGTAAACCATGCTATCGAGTTTCGACTGTTAGAAAGTGGGCCAATGGTCTACATATTAAAAAGAATAATAATAAAATTAACAAGAAATTAAACAAAAACTGAATGCAAATGGAAATAGATGAACCCAACTGTATTTCAAATGAATAAACTAATAGCCCTGGAGACAGAGAAGGAATCAAAGTGACTGTGGAACACTGACTATATAGTGCCATTAGGGAAAACAAAAGACCGACCAAGATTGTGTTCTTTTTAGTAGATTTGTTTTGCATGGAGGTATAGGGACAGTGAATCTCAAACTACTTTACATGTGTTGTAGGATTGAAAAAATGAGTAAATGTGTCCATAGTTTGGGAGTTTACACTGTGGCAGGGGAGACAGAAGTATGGAATTAAGAAAAGCAAGAAAGAACTCCATGGCGCTGGACTGGAATTGAAGGCATTTGTATGAACTCATAATTTTAAGAACACATAGACACAAACACACATGACTCAGCTTTGTCTTTTCAAAGAGATTACAAGCAAAGACTCCCACTATCACCATTCCTCATTAAAAGGAAGCAGGGCTCCTGGAATAAGTGACTGATTCCAAGGCTAGGGTAAGAAAGATACAAGATGAGCTGGGAATGTTCTGTTGTGTTGGGAAGTAAAGAAATGCTCTTAAGATGATGGAATCCTGTCAGAAGGATACAGGAACCAGCCTGAATTAGCCCCCATTGGTCCATATTGTTAACAAAAAGATGAATGAATGAAAAAAATGAATGGGGGAAAATCTGACAAATGTAGAGAAGTGGTGGGACTGGAAAAATTATAATTTTGTACTTATTACAGTGAAGATTATATGCTAGAATCATTAGTAATTACTGAATTTATAGAAGTTTGATTAAAGAAATAGTAATGAGCAAGATCTTAAAATGTCTTTGTGCATAAGTTTATTAATTGCCAGAGGAGGAAAAGTAATTGTAGAGGGTAGAAACAAGTGATAAAATCTAAACTCACCAAAAAGTCTATTTCCTGTGGGTGTGATT